GATAATATTGAGGGCTGTCACTTCTTTCTCGGGAGACAGCATGTTTCTGCAAAGCCTGAATTGCATCTCAAGTTGCTATACCACTCACTTTCCTAGTGCATATGCCGTTTTTGCAGATTGGCTGATGTAAGAATCCACCTCTAGTTATTCTTTGATTCTATTGTGAGAAAAGACAAAAATACTAATGCGTTTAGTGTAACATTTATTCCAAGATGAAAATGAGTGTTTTTACGTCTTTCGTGGCCTCGAAGTAGGGACACAGCGCAGCACATTAGTTTGCCTTTGTAGGAATTCATTGCAAAATCGTACTAGAGTTTAGGTATTACTTCCAAATTTTCGGATTGTGAGTTATTTATAATGTTACCGTTTAATTTTAATATTAATATTTTACAACATATATATTTAACAATCGGATATGGCTCTTGAACCCATGAATCAGTTTGATTTGCAGTTTGGTCAGCAGCGAAGTGGGTTACAAATATGTATCTGAAGAAATGTTTAGATGTTTTTGTGGATCCCAGATACGGATTGATAGGAAGATTTCGAAATTTAAAGTGATTTAAAATGAGTGTTACGGTTTTTCATTCACTAGTATTTTTTTCTTATTTCCTGGAATTCGAAGCATGACATAGGATGTTTCAGGGCACTGTGTCATATAATTACTACTTTTGTCACCTTGAATCATGTTAATCGTTGGAATTTCCTGTTTCGATTCCAGTGATCGGGCTGCTATGATTTCTGAGGTCTGTTGCAGAACAGGAGTTTTTTTATTAATTAACTTAACATATTTCAGGAAATCGTGACCGCTATTTGTTCTACTAGCAAGTTGTCAACTTTGCACGCTCTGTGTACTTGAATTGTTCCAGGGTTTTGGTCAAATAGTTCATGTTATTGCTCGCCCTTATAATATCCTTCTTTGGGTAGATACCTCACAAGTGTGAATTATTTAAAATCTTGTGGTGAACCTTATTCTCAATCGCTTTGTGTTCCATGTTGCTCTAGTCTGAAAAGCGTTTCATTTGAGTTTGTCAATCCCACAGAACCTGCCACATTTGCGTTTATATGTGGAAGTCAATAAATGAAAAATACTTCTAGTGGCTGCATTTTAGAGAAATTATTCTTTTCCTTTCTGACTGCAGAGAGCTTTTCAATACTTGGATCTTAATGATACCAG